AATGTAATGATTACCTCCTGAGCTAATTGATAACAGGTAGCACGCCATAAATGCCTATTGATATTACCCGAACTCTTAATTGAATCCACGTCTTCGCCATCTGATGAAATTATAATTAGTTATTTAAAAATTGAATATCACCTCTTTTGAATAATTAAAACTAGGTTACCATCAGTTTGTTCTCCATTAACAATATATCCGCTTATACTGGCGGCCCGCCAAGACTGACCATTTTTTTTACTGATTTCACAAGCAGTGTCTAGTTGTCCTCGTCGTAAATATTCATATATTGATTTTGCCAACTCATTATCATGACTCTTTTTAAATATTATGCATACATGGAATAATAATTAGATTAATCAACAGCATATTAAGATCAATAATATATTAAGATCAATAACATATAAATAATATATTAAGATCATAAATAATATATTAAGATCAATAACATATTAAGAAAATAAATAATATATTAAGATCAATAACATGTTAAGAGCATAAATAATATATTAAGAACATAAATAATATATTAAAAACATAAATAATATATTAAGATCAATAATATATTAAGAACATAAATAATATATTAAAAACATAAATAATATATTAAGATCAATAATATATTAAGAACATAAATAATATATTAAGAACGCGCAAACAAACCTGATCTTGTGGATGCAGGGCATTCCCGGTTCTGTACGGACCATCCGGGTCTAGATATTGGGAATTCAGCTTTGATTTAAACATGAGATGTGTTTTTGTATCCGACCAATATTCAGGGTATGTTTCAGCAGGCAAGAACGGAAGAGCAGTATTTTGCAACCATTGACGTACTATCTGAAATTATAAACTAATATAAATATACCATGACCAAATAAAATACAAAAAAGTTATTTATCTAGATTTAAAATACCCAAGCTTCGGCAAAGTTCAAATTTGTCGCAAGAAGTTCACATTGAAGAGCACCGTCCGTTTGATAAAGTTTTGCAGGTATATTAACGTTTGTTGGATGCGTTGATCTAAGTCTTTAAGAGAAAAATATTTAATTGAATTTCTTTAAATTTCTTGTTACTAATATATAAAGTAATTTGAAAAGGGATAAAAAGCTTACAATTGCAATTGCTTTATTAAATTCCAAGTATTTCGCTCAGCTTCCCAAAGACGAAATTGAGTTAAATCGATTGGAAAAGTTTTCCCAGGTTCATTCCGAGCTTTCTTTAAACTAAGGAGAATTAAGAATTAAAAATTTTAAAGGAAATTTTTTTATGAAATAAATAATATTCTAATATATCTTAAACTAACAGTTGGTCACATAATTCTTCATAGTATTCTGGAGAGGTCAAATCACCGTCATTTAAATCCTGAAGTGATGAAAAGGTAAAAATTTAATTACACAATAAATAATGTGTCACGAAAGAAGTATATATTAACATTCTACTTTCAAGACCTGGTAGGACTGACATTATTGAAGTGAGCATACAGAATTCCGTTGAATGAGGTGTTAGTAGGAATCAACGTTCTTTGACCACGAGATTCCGTAGGCGTATAAGATGTCGCAAAAAGATCGGAAATATGTAAAGGTGTATCTGTTGAATGCTGCGTATCTGGACTGTCAACTATCATTGATACGCTTGAAGACATTTTTGATCCGTTAACAAACTCGTAAGTTCGAAAAAACAACCATATTGATTGTGTAATAAATGTATCATGTGATTATACGATACAGATGTCGTTATCGTTAACGTAGTGAACTCTTAGCGTTAGTATTAGTTAAGATTCGATATGGAATGATTAAATTTCAAATCGATATGAAGGACTTTCTTGGCAATGAAGATAATAACATTTCTCAGCCGATGACTTCACTATAACAAGAGGGAGTTGTACGCGTAGAAAATGCCATCCTTTCAAGTGTACGGTCGACTCTATGTACTTTTAAAAAAACCTACGCTTAGAGAGAGTAAAATGCTCGGATGTACTTGGGACAATTCTAAAAACCCAAGCTTGAAGAAATTTTATATTTATAATAGTACCCCATTTTATAAAGAGTTGATTGTATAATATTTCGTTCTCGTTTTGCTTACATTCTTTGCTCGACACGTATATACCCATTTGAATCGCATCCCACACATTCCACAAATGTGGACCAAAAAGTTGTCAAGAATGAATAGCTTTTTAGATTAAGTCGTTAAACTTAACATGAATTAACATGAATTAACATGAATGAGTAATATACGTAGTAACAAAGCTTTCTTGATGTTTTAAAAAAACTAAATGATAAGACTTTTTTTTATTTCAAATATAGATTACTGAGATAGATTACTGAGCACACAATAATTCTAACTTATAAAAAGAATCTACAGTATTTAATGATTTGAGAGAATAGTGATTGATTTGAGTTGAGATACAGACATTGAGTCGGTCTCAGCGAGAAAATATTATCTCGAATTTGTGCCACGCAATTGTGGCTTAGGTTAAATAGCGTCCTTATCCTGTAGTTGGGGTATAATTACTTTACCCTATACCAGGAGGATACAAAAAAAATGCTTCGAATATCATGTAAATGATCTATTTTAGCTATTGCTTTTGATGCAGAAACTGTATATCACGATTTCAAAGTTCTAGCGTTTTGTCATGTCCAACAAAGTGGTATAAATAATGATTTTTTATTATCAAATTGAGAATACAATAATACAGTATATAACAGGTACGTAATACAATTATAAGTAATACAATTATAAATGACAATTATAATTTACAAATAACCGAATTAACAGTTAATACGTAATACGGGCGAACTATAAACGTATAATTTTCAAATTCTCGTAATAAGTTCATGACTGTAATATTTTTGTTGATTCGCTGGGAATTAGCGAAAGCTTTTCTTTTTTTATTCACATACGGATCAGGATATTATCCATTAATTCCTTGATACGTATAACTACAGTTTACTGATTTTAAATATTCAATGGATCTAGTGTTAATACAACAAAAATATTTAAATTGCATAATCAATTATGATCGGTTGATTGGTTTCTTTTGGTAATTCAGGGAAGAGGGTGTAGTAATTAGTAATTTGGGTATATAAATGGGAGGTTTGGTTATTGATCTAATCATTTGCACAAAAAGTAATGGTAATTCGCGATGATGTAGAGTAGCAAATAAACGTGTTTTGTATAAGTTTGGGGGTTTTTTGATGAGTGTTGCAGAGCGAAAACCTGTAACTGACAGTTATAGGTTTTTGCTCATATAATAGTACACGGAAGTTTACATAATATCTTACATTCTCATATACCCAGGTCTAAAACGAGCATACCGTAATTTGTAGCATACCGAAAAACCACCAATTTAGACCCCTCTGGGGTCTTGTAAAGGGGGAAGGTCTACATTTTGTACAAGTCAGATTGGTTTTTGGGTTACGTTAAACTTAACCTGACCCGGTCAAATTAATCAAGCTCGGATCATAATTAAATTAATTGATCCAAGTTAAATAATATAGATTAGTTACTAACACTAACGATAATGCAATACGATTAAACAAAATTACTCTAAATTTTTATTTTTTATTTTCTTTTTACAAAACAATGAATCTTCTAATACAAGTGAATATAAGTTATGTCAAGAAAAACGTTTAATAAAATATTTGCTGAATTTATTCCCTAACAGCTAAATGTTGATTGTGATAATGATAATACTGTAATATGAATGAAGTAGATAATCAAATACACGAAAATAAAACAAAAGATACGATTGAAGTATTTGTAATTTAATAAATAAAATATATAATTATAAAATTCAATACTTAGAAAATTAGCGAGGATAAAGAGTTCGGGTAATATCAATAGGCATTTATGGCGTGCTACCTGTTATCAATTAGCTCAGGAGGTAATCATTACATT